AGATTTCATGTAAGTGTGCCCGTTTTCTTGTACACTCTTAGATAGATTTAAATAGATTTCATTTCAGAGTACAATCCGTATTCGAACACATCTATGTACATATAATAGATACACTATAAGAGGGCAACCCATTTTTTTGCACATGTATGTTAACTGTAAAAGATACTACTTAATGGTAGAACTTTTTTTTGCACATACTTTATGCACTTATAGATTCAATTAAGAGGGCAACCCCTTTTTGCACACATCTATATTCCCTATTAAAATACAATTGAAGGGTACAGATAGATTGAGTTTAAGAGTGCAACCTGGTTTTTGTCCTTAAGTAGATTCAATAGAAGAGTGCAACCTGTTTTTGCTCATACATATTAATACCTTTAAATGATTCATTTGAGACTGCAACCCTTTTTAACACATACATAAATACCCCTAAAATGTTTATTTTCAGAGTGCAACTAGTTTTTGCACACATTTATATACCTTAAAGATATAATCGTTTTGATCACACTCATATGCACATGATACATGTACATATTTACTTTTTAAATTTAATTTAATTTAAGTGTAAAACCATTTTTCACAACATAATTCATGAATAGTTTTAAAGGGCAAAAATTTTTTGCAACCCCTAAACCCTTTAAATAGATTTATTTTTAAGATGAATCCAGTTTTGCACATAATAAATCCCTTTAAACATTTTAAATTAAAGTCCAACACTTTTGTTAATATTTTTTAAAAAGGATATATTTGGGTTTAACCCCCATTTTAAACTTTTAAATATAAATAAGAAAAACAAAAATCCCAAAAGAAACCCCCAAAGGCAAAATTTGTAAAATGTTTGGGTTTATTGAGCCTTTCAGCCGGTCTGAATTGCAATTACCGTCCACCCCCCTGCCACCGGCTTAAGCAAATTTCAACATTTAACAACAAAAATGGTGAAATTTTGAATTTAGAAAACATCCGCAGATGTGTTCATACGGCGGTTATCAGGGAACCTTCAATGTGACACAGTAGTGTCATTCCATTAAAAGCGGCGTGTGGTCCCCAAGTAAAAGAATGCATGTGCCCTATACGATAAAACAATGGGCGGAACTAAAATAAAAAAATGGAATTTTGGAAGGGTTTCTGAAGTTATGAAGCCTGTATATCACAGAAAAAGACGTCAAAAGACAAATTTAAAAATCAGGCAACATATCCTTAGGGTGATTATACAGTATTCAAGTAGGAATACTGGAACCACCCAATTTGAAAAAGGCCAAATACAAGAAACTAAAAATACCATCTAAAATGTAAACACAGCAATAATGTCGTGCTTTTGAACGATCTTCAAGGATCGAAAATATAACATCATTTATCAAATGTACGGGGAGACTTTTTCCAGCCGCCACACGGCACAAATAACACGGATGTTACAATAAAATAGTTTATGAGTGCAACTCATTTTTGTACATTCAAACATGTAAGCGATTTTGTCTCTGAATGATGATATTGTATGGTTGCATGGTGTTTTGCAATTTGAAATAATGTTTCAAGGAAAAATCTGAAAGTGTTATAATTAAAACATTTATTTTATGTTTAAAAATTAACTTATTTTCATATGACAGGATCATTACAGGAACATAACTTTATCATACACTTTTACAAACACATTGAAAACATGATATGGAAGATTTTAAGTCCAACTTCATATACATGTATAATCATTTTTATAATGTACATGCGTCATTGTGGTATTACCCTTTCCCTCCCCAAAGAACCCCGGTCCCAAATAAAAAAAAAACAACAACAACAAAGACAATTCAACAACAAAACTACAAAATAGAGTGAAATAAGAATCCCTAGGGAACCCCAACCGGTAAAAATTTAAATGTGCAGGTCGGTTTTTGATTTAGCCTTTTCATACGGTACTCGTCAAGTGCAAAATACCTCACGCCCCCCCACCCCTTTTGAAGTTCACCATGGGAAAATTTTGAATTTTTTAAACATCCAAAAATTTTCATTGGGGGTTTCAAAAAATTTTCTCAAAATAATTTAAAACTATGGTAATAAAATCATTTAAAATATCGAAAAAGACTTTAAAAGTTTAAAGTGCACGGATCTGAAAGGTTTTTTATGCAGTTATTTATAAATTTTCTCTTGCAGACTCTCTTATCAAGTTGACACATGTTGATTATGATTATACAGTAGACTCGTGGAGATAAATAAAGGTTACAAACGCTTTAATAATATATGGATATTGCTGCTCAGGGCATCAAGGTCATTGGTAACATTTCATGTTGTATAATCGACATTTCTTTTAATTAATTTTTATATCATGGTCTGCATAGTTCATTGTTCAATGGGAAATTAATTTGTCTTAGTTTATTATTAATTTTAACAACAATGTGGACAACTATCACTGTGTAGATATACTACTAATTTCGTCGTATCTGGATGACTTCATATATAATTTACAAGATGTGACCACTTCTACTCGTACACACTAAGTCAATTAGTACGGATAATTTATTGTCATATGATAACAAAAGAAACACCCGGATGAAAGGCGATTCCGAGCGTTTTTGGAAAGTGCTATTGCTTAATATAATACTGTAATAATAATCACACACTGTAAAATATCACATACATTCAATCTGTGGCGTATGTGCTCGTAACTACTCGGCCCTTCCCGTCAAAATCCGGACAAGAAACTCAAACCTTATGATACAGATTTAGTATTTCGATTTAGCCTACGCAAATATACTAAACATGTAACACAAATAGTTATTTAATACTCTGAGTTGTTGACTAAGTTAATTTCAATATCGTGTTAAGTCCACTGAAAGTAAACTGAACATTATTTGTTTACTTATTATTATGTGTAGCACCCAAAAGTACCAAATGTATTTCAGTCGACGTTAATGCAGTTTTGTTAAAATTGAACATAAGTAGGCGTTTTTAAATTGATTATCAATGTTAGACATATTTTCAATAACTAATTTACCGAAGAAGACTTCCTCTTTCTTGGATGTCGAATATGTACGTTCGTTATACAATTTACAAGTTTTTTTGTTTACATCTAAAACAACGTGGTAGAAATACTTACAATTCGAGTCTGTATCAAGTTCGAGATTATAATGATGAATAATAAAATAATCCAGAAGATCTCCGATTGCATATGACGTTCAACAATGCGCAATTCTAGTAGGCCTTGCTCATTATCAAACGATAATTGTATGGTATATTGTTCTTATAAGCAAAATACTGACCATTCAAAATAAATTCCAATGTAGGCAAGGGTCAACCTTATACAACCAGACTGCAGAAACTTTTGTATGGAAAACGTCGCTGGTTCGGACCCTGGCCTCGGGAGGAACATTTAATTCAAAACATTATCTTTAATCAGCAAAATGTTACTAAGAATATCATGCATCTATGGGTAGTCATAACATGTTGAATATTGTTTTATCTAGAAAGGAAGGATATTATTTTGGTTATATGAAAAACATAGGACGTTCAACAAATTAAAACAACACTGTACAAGTTTCTAACTTACAGTTACAGCTGTCTTATCTCAAAGCGTATGTTACTTCTTGGGAATAAAAGACTGCACTGACATAGTTTCGGACACGGCAAAAATGGTCTTAACTAGTCACCGTTTCACCATTTCTTGTAATATATGTTTGCTTTTCCATAGTATGATTATTGCAAACTGGTTCGATATCACCGATGTCTGTGACTGTGACATTGATTATTGAATTGGCACTTAGACCACCGCCGTCCCCTACCTTGAAATACATAGACATATTTTGACAAGCAACTCTATGAGAAAAAATATTAAACGGAGAAGAAATGTCAGGATGGCCAAGACTCTGAATTTATTTTCAGTTTTGTCGTTTTAGGCGTTCTTTAGCGAATCATTTTTTTCCCTATTTTAAAGCAAATCCGAGATATTCCCTTTTTTAAATTTAGAATTAAACTATTAAGGACATGTTCTATGCAAGTCTGTATCAAAGCAAATAAAACAATATGAGAAATTTTAGGTACAAAAAGATAATATATATGTCTTCATTAAATCAAAATCAGTCACACATAAGAAAATCTATGACACATTTAATTTCATAATGTTTATTCATGAATTCAAGATAAAGAATTGCATTATGTACGTTGAAATTCGTAAAATAAGAAAACAACTCTCACCAAAACATGAAAAAGGAAAGTAGATCCGCGTGTATTTTCACTGTAAGTCTTCTCACTGAAAATGATTCCTCGTATTAAATTTAACCAAATAATAAATTATTGAAATAAAGACAATCATGAAGTAAGCAAGTATCTTACCATTTCATGTAGAATATTAAATACATCCTAAGGGTGGACGGTACTTTGCGAATTCCGTTCAACAGACCAAATCTTCAACATTTTCCATTTTCCGTTTTGGACGTTCTTAAGGGATTCTTATTTTCTTTACTTTATTTGTATTTGTGTTTTCGTCCCGCAACCCCGCCGTTTTATTTCTTAAATCTCGCTCCACGACCCCGCAGGACGATGTTTTATTTATCAAACTTCGCCCCGCGTCCTCGCTTATAAGCGCGTTTTCGCTCCGCGCCCCCGCCATTTTAATTTGTTAATTTTCGATTTTCGCTTAGCGGGGTCGCGGGGCGAAAACACGAATGGCACAAATCAGCCACCATACATTCATGAATATTTCCGGATAGTTTTAATATTAGTCGGCAATTTTAAGTATTTGAACTTATTTCTTTAGACCTCATTTAAACTGAATTAGTCCGACCTGATTAAAAATGATAATTAATGGAACACGTGGGTTTTGTTTCTTTACATGAATATGATGTTATCAAAAAAACATGTGTGATGTCAATAGAGAACAATAGCGACGTTAACAAATCGCAGCTCCAAATGATAAATGATAGCAACTTACAACAGGTTGCTAGAAACAGATTATGACAGCAGTTTTTTATATAATAATTGGTGACGTTTATTGCTATCAAATCTATCAATTTCAGTTCGTAGATGTTTAAGCGATACTGATTACATGCATATCCAATGGGATACAGGAATCCCAGGAAGAACCTCTAAGCATAAATGCCCGACTGGATATAGAGGTATATTTTGTTTAGCTTTTGAAGATAGATTTTTTGTCATCACAAATAAAGACACTGTTTAATAAAACATTGTATGCATTATTTAATATGAAAAAACCTTAATATCCTTCCAATGAAACTGCTAAACGTTAGTTAAAGTGAATTTTCTTTAATGGAAGGTCTGCTATTCAATAGATAACTGTGTAAATAGTATTTATTATCAAACATAACTGAACAAAATTAATCGTGAAAGAGTTGAACATGGACCGACATTCGTGATTCCGACATTACATGTCTTTAAATTGCGGATAATCAAATTTCTAGTACATTTTTTATTATTCAACATACAAATGTTCATTATTTATATATTTGCTCTTTATCAACATTTTATCGAGCAATATATAAGAATAATCATCCAAATGTGCTAATTTAAGACCAATAAATTAGAAATATTTTGTGCAAATTATGAATTGTTTTTATTTTATACTTATATTACGTTTTCTCCCTAAAGACATTATGACTGTAGACCTTGCCACCACGTTGCCCTGTCCGCGTCTCTTTTTGTCAGACAATTTCAAAAACTGATAACATTTGACGGTAAAATGGGAATTTTAAATTCATTTTTTTTGTTGCACTTTCCTTCTCCTTAAAATATGGCATATCAAGGCCATATAGTTTTATTATGATTTGTGTTGTTTTTTTACGTGGCCTCATATATATTATATAACAACGCTATTATTATGTTACTTTAAAATATCACTGTGTTTGAAAAACCCAACTTAAGTCTTTATTTTATCATACACCATTTTAACACACAAAAACACTTACTTTAACCATACAATAGCAAAGTATTTAATTTTCTTCAGGTAATGTAACAAGGTACTGTACAATAACTGGAATTTATCAGGACCCTGTCTACAACTGTACGAAAATTTCAATTGAAAATATTTACCAAAAGGTAATAAATGTAGAGAATTATTAGTATTATTATAATTACTATTGGTTGATAGTTTGTTTCATTTACTTATTTTCCTATATTTCATTGTAGAGCAAGATCTCAGTTGCCATTCTATGTATCATTTTATTCCAATCGTACACGTAATAGTGTGGCGAGAAATTGAGAAAAAGGTGCAAATGAAACTTTCAGGAAATCATCTTTAGACCATGTAGTTTTAAAAAATGAAGTGGGTACAAAAATATCTCTGCTCATTAAAGATGGCCGCTATTTTCAAATGGCCGCCATGTAAATTTGACGTACATAATAACTCATTCATTCAAGTTTTTTGTACAGACCTGTAACTTACACCAAAGCATGTATAATGTTTCTCTTTTTTAAAAATTAAAAAATTTAAATCTTACAAAATTCCACTGTTATACCTCTTCAGAATCCAAGATGGCGTCCAATATGGCCGCCGATTTTGTGTGCAAAACTGTTTTATCATTTTTATAGACCAAGTATAAATTCTTGCACAAGTTATGTTTATTTAAAAAAGATTCGTTTAAACATATTATAATAATCAAAATATATAAATTATGTAAATAACACTGAAAGTAAACTTCTACAACATATCTTTAAAAATATCAAGAAAAATATCCAAATTTTGCATATTTCTCAAATTTTGCTTTCTCAATTTGTGTACAAAATTAAAAAAAAACTTTATTTTTTAAACTGTACATGACATGCAATTTACACCCATGTGTGCACTGTAAAAGTATAAGAAAAATATAAAATATATAGGTTTTATATTTTGTGTAAATGAGTGGGGTAAATTTATCCGATATCTGTTATTGAAAAACAACAAAACTTATAGAGGTAAAATCATTCTATTTCTTTGCTTTTTTACTTTTCTATGAATTATTTTGCAAATTGTTCCCTCTTAAAAAGTACACTTCATTGGATAAAGGTATTTTGTCTTCTTTAGGGTTAAGTGGGTGAGCTAACATGTCAAAAAAGTTCACAAAAAACAAGTGTATTTCTTGTTTCAATATCTTTGATATTATTTGTTTAAGTTAATAGTTTATTGTAAACATATATAAGAAGACAATAAATCATTAAAATATGCTAAAAATAACAAACATGTTCATGAATGGTAGTCTATTAACGCATATTATTGAATTTTCACAATTTAAAATAAAAAGTGGTCTAAAAGCCAACACAAAGATATAATGATTATTTCATTCAATATCTGAAATACATAGTAAAACTAATCATTTCAACTATGTGATATGAAACAGATATACAATGGTAATCAAACCTGGCCTTGCATGGCTTATGATATGTTAAGATACAAAAAAAACTGTATTTCCTTTAAATTATTTCATATTTCATTAAATTTCAAAAAGAGAGTTTAATGTGACCCTTAGAATCAGTTCAACCTAAGGACAAATTTGGAAAAAAAAGGCAAATTTGTAAAAAAGGTTTTAGTAAAGTCCCCATTGGGTTTGGCGTTGTCAATTATGTCCTACCATACATGTACAAGATTGTGAAAATGTTTTTGTGTCAGATTGTTTAAAAACATTACAAATTTCCCATATCTAGGTTATCCCAAAAAGTTTCACACGAAAAGGACTAAAATAACCATAAAATATTTCATTATAGTCCATATAAACTTAGTGTTCCCTAGTGCTTTGGTAAAAGTTTGCCTCTCTTGTTTCCCATGTTTTTATTCAAAATATTTGTAGCCCTATTCACCAAAAAAGTATGATGATACCCCAAATTATTAATGTCTATGCTTCAGGTACTGTATTTTTAGAGAAAATTCCCCAAACACCAACAACCCAAAAACACAAAAAAAACAAAAACAAAAACCAAAACACAAAAAAACACAACAAACCCAACACACAAACAACACCACCCACACCCCACATAGTCGTGTTGTAAAATTTAAAGATACCAAATTGCAAAGCCATTTTTGATGTAGGCATGTACAAAAAATTGATTTTAACTTCAGGCTGGCTTCCTATGAGCATTATTTATTAAAAATTCGTCAAATTTAAGGGCATAAGGTAAAGGCTATATGCTTATTATTCTATCTGGTATATGTGCATTATGCCTTTTTGAGAAAGATTTTTTAAAAACATTAAGATGACCAAAACGCGTTTATTGTGCTTCAAAGAGGTCTCTTACTCTTACCTTGCAAGGGTAATATTTTTGACTATCTAAAGAATTCCAGGCCATTGTAGTTTTTTCCAAAAAGAGGACTTCAATGTGATTTTCCCTATAACAAGTCTTTAAAAACTCGTTCTCTCGTTGGCGCGGCCGCCTTTTTTTAAATAGAATTCACCTACATTTAAAAATTGGGTTTCCCTAGGGTGTCACTTATTTTCCCCATTAACTTATGTCTTAAAAAAACTTCTCCCAAGCAAAAAGTTTCACAGAGCAAAAAAATTTTTCGTATTTCATCACATTGTGATGATTAAAAAATATAAAAAATTGGCCCCTAGAGTTTTTAAAAACACTTTGTTTTTTATAAAAAAAAGATTTCTTTCCCTTTTTGATTATGATTTTTTTGTCTCCCGTCGGGCCCTTTCTTTTTCTTTGATCCTTTTTAAAAAAAATTTATGTTCCCAAAACCCCAAATTAAAAGAAATGAAAAATGCTAAATTTTAATTTTTACTTTTATTACAATGTTATGAAAAAAAAATTTTTAACTTTGGGCATTTTTGTTCAAAACCTGAGCAAGACTATTTACCAAAATTGGGAAAATTTTATTGTTTTTAGCTTTAAGGCAATTTTTTATCATTCATAAAGAAATTGTGCTTGGATTAATTTGAATTTGTAATAGACACATTTCACTTTCGTACAGTTATGATTTTATCTAGCACATGTTTGTGTGATGAATACTCGTATTCAGTCGAGAAATCTACTTTCTGTACAATTGACGAATTATCTTAAGAATATTTAAACAAGTTATATCATGCAAACAAATTTTAAAACTGAATGATTGTAAACAAATGAGTGTATGTACATTTATTGATATCTAAGCACACCATCTAGTTATTTTTTAATTCCCTTTAAAACACTTTTTATATCGAATAAGCAACTTTGTTTGTAAAAAATTATAAAACTACAAAAGTTGCATTATATCCAGTTTTGTATAAAAATCGGCGGCCATATTGGGACGCTATCTTGGATTCTTGAAGAGTATGAAAGGCCCAAAATGTTGAAAGATTTTAAGTTTAGGAAAGGAGAAACTTTAAACATTACTTAAAAGCGTAAGTTTTCAAGTTCCTGTACAAAAAATTTACTGAAATGAGCTTATTATGTACTTCAGATTTCTATGGCAGCCATTTTTTAAAATGGCAAGCCATTTTTGGAAATTAGCAAAGTTATTTTTTTGGGCTCACTTTCGTTTTTAGAATCTGCATGGTCCTAAAGATGATTTCTTAAGGTTTCCATTGATTTGAATCACAATTTGCCACTATTTTACCAGCAGATACATTATTTCCCGCCACTTAAAGTAGAAACTTCCGGAATCTAAACTTTGATAGTTTTTAATACTCTTTATCTAAAGTCAATTTGCCATAGTGACTTTACGACATTTTTTATATTTTACGAAACCAGCTTGAAATTTAAATAAAGAATGTTTTATAGGTTACCGTCACAGTTATGCAATGAATAAGCAAATTTATAAATTTAATGTATGAATTAATATTTTTTCACATCAGTTTATGCCGCAATGAGTTCTGCGAAAATGCTTAATAAGGTAACTCCTACATTAAATTACACTACACATGTAGTTCAATTTATTAACGGCTTCTCTGCGTCTGTCTTATTTTTTTAACAATTATGACTTTTTACCAACGCTCTTTTGCGCGAACTTTAAATTGTAATAATTTGTTTTGATCATTATTGCAATTTAAGATGTACAAGGTTAATTTTTGTGTGCATTACAGTTAATTAATGCAACAAAAACTTGTCAGGTAAATTTAGTTGATGTATTGGATGAACTATCAAAATTGAGGACTTCCGGCCACTCTCGGAGAATAGTACACTTTTGATCGGGAGATATAAACCGTTGCTGTTAAGACAAACCTTGCAGAAATAGTTGATGTGGTAACAGTCCCAACACAAAAACCTTTTGAAAATGTTACAAAGGACGAAAGTAACATTAAATCAATCAAAGACATTTATTGATGACTAAAATTCCATCCACTATGGTTATTGGACTTAATTTTTGGCCATATCATTCCGTTTTTTCTTTGAGCAGTGGAAACTACACCGAAACATGTCAGGAATTGTAATGGATGCTTATTAAAAATTCTGTTAGTGAGGCTTACAAAAAAAGTTACTTCCGTGCCCTTCACTTAACTGTCCTTGTTATAATTAAAACATTCCAAAAACTGGTTAGAAACCCGTTAAATCAAACTTCATAGTTTTTTTTTGAAATAGGAAACCTACATATGCCGGCCACTATGGATAGTTTTATTTTGTGTCTGCATCATGATGCAGGACACCGAAACCTTTTGCACATGTATTAATCAAAAAACGTCTCAGATTGGATATAGAGCCCGAAATGAAAGTTCCGAGATTACCCATTCCGAAAGGTAGCAAGTAATTTTAAAATAAGAAGTATCCGTGTTTCTCCCCCAGCCTTATTTAAACCATTCTACCCTTAACCCAAATGGACCCATTGATATAGGGAAAATTTTTAAAGTGTTTACTTACAGTGCGCTTTTATTTCTTCTGACGGCCATGCTCCAAGGTGAGCTTTTGCCAAATTGCGCCATTAACCCGAAAATAACTAAAAGAAACTGTATTTGTTCCTTTTCCCTTTTCCCCTTATATATGTGGTCACCGGGGTTCATACACCCGTCTGCCTGCTTTGGAAATACTGCATTTTTTGAGCTGAATATTTTTAGAATATTTCGGGCATGTAATAATTTCCCTTATGAATTATCCAATTGTAGATTGAATACTAGCGGAAAGCATATTTATAATTTGGTATATTTTTAGAGATGAAATTATACTTCTTTAACTTTATTTGCAGGTCATTATATTACCCCAAACAAAATCAAACAATATTCTTGATTTGAAAGTACAACACAGACATGGAAGGGTGAAAACATAAATTCAGGTAAGTATGAAACGACTATGTCCGTTTCCCCCGCACTTTATTGTGTATCATAATACATGTATTTATATTGTTTTTTAAAAAAGCATATTAAACGGAACCGATAATGTGAACTCGACATATTGATCAAGTTGGTGATTCATCTATTTACCTCATTTATCATAAATAAGCTACTGACAATACAATTTAAAATTGCAAAATTTTTGATAACCCGAATTTTCATTTCCGAATGACTTCAGATTTTGATACTTTTTTCTGATTTACTTTCATAAATAAAATAATTATGTTTTCTTTATTCGAAGTCAACTTTGATAACTGGCTATAAGAATAGTTGTTCCCAAGTCGTGTAAGCTTCAGGTTCGGTTTGTTCCGGTCTTATTCCTACAAGCAGCAACTTCACAATAATTTTGATTTGCTGTACACGGCCTTAACAGAGTTTTCGTAAATAACTACTGTACAAAGCACAGACCATTTTGTTAATATTGTTAATATGTTTCTAAACCCGGGGACGTAGGCTCAAGCCTTTCCGGGGTCACAACCATATTTTTGCATTCAACATCAGTATTGGAAAGTTTCAGGAAGTGGACCACGCAGCGATTTAAATCAGCTTTAAACTTTCACCAATTGAGCTATTAGTAAGATAAATAATTTTTAATGTAAGCATCATGGTGTGTTTGATTTCGCCAGATTTCTGGGCCGACAGTGTTCTCATCATAAAATGTTTTACACGAAAACGTCACGGGGCAGACATTGTTCCGATCATGGTATGTTTTATTCCGGGGCAGACATTGGTTTGATCTTGCTATGTTTCATTTGGACAGCTTCAGTCATCATGCCATGTGTTATATAAACAGGTTCCTGGGCAGACATTGTTTTCATCATGGTTTGCTTTATTGAAACATTTTCAGGGGCAGACATTATTCCGAAACATGGTCCGTGATAGGCATTGTTCTGAACATTGCATGTTTTATTTTGACATTTCCTGGGCTGCCAGTGCTTTCATCATGGTATGCTTTTGATGAACAAGTTTCGGGTAATATATTGATCTAATCAGGCACCTCTTATTAGGATTTGTGTTCCGTGGCAGACATTGTTCTGACAATGATATCTTTATTAAGACAGGTTCCGGGGCAGACATTTATCTGAACAACCTTATCGCATGTTTTAAGACATTACAAGGGGCAGATTTTATTCACGTCATGTTTGTTTCATTTAGACAGGTTCCGGGGCAGACGTTGTTCTGAAGACAACAGATCGTTTTGTGGAGAAGATATTGACAACATCCAAAAATGTCACTGCTGAGATATCAAAGTCTAATTTATGTACGCCTTTTTTGGAAATTAGAAATGAACTCATTTTTAAAGTAACTTTACCAAGCAGTATCGTGTAGTAATGATTTCCTTTTTTAATTGCTACAATGAATGTTGCTGAGATATTAAACTTCCTCTATTATAGCTACTTTTTAATACCAAATGCTAAGACGTACTTTAAGATGATCTAAATGCATTTAATGTTTTTCATATAGATTAGTAGATCAATGGGATAATGATACATTTTATCATTCTGTATTATGTTGCAGATTTAAATATGGCGTCTGTACAATCATGTAACGAAACTCTTTATTTCCCTGATCGCGGAAAAGAAGGTGTCTCAGAGTGGGCTAGATCAAGGAAAGACGTTCTCGTAATTGACTGTGACAGTATGTAACGCTTAATTTCATGTATAATCAAAGCACAGAAGGCGCTGAATTTGTTTGGGTCTCAGAATGTAAGAAAGGTGCAGGTTGTGAGATTATATGTTTAGTGCCACCAATGCTTTCCAGCGTTTTAATTGTAGTAAATTGGCTATAAGACTAATTGCAACACTGATATTCAATCCAATGTTTATTTGACTTTAACAATTTAAAAAAATGAGTTACCTTTACTGGGATTTGAACTCCAGACCTCTCGCTTCCTAAGCGAGCCCGAAAACCCTTCAGCCACGGTTAAATTTATATGTGAACGGCCTGAAGAAAACCATATTATTCTAAATTAGGGCTTGTAACGACTTTTAACTGTTGTTTAACACAGATGTAAATAATCCTGAAGCTTACTATAAGCATGTATATTTATAAAGAATCAAAAGGGCTTCAAGTTCTTTGGTATTTTCTGATCTTTGCAATCTAAATCGTACTGTATATCTGTATGCATTTTTCCTGTATAAGTTTATTTTTTATGTATTATAATTCATTTTGTAAGGCACATACGGAATTCTGCATAACTAGAGTTGCATCAAAAAATCATTTATGTACTTTTTTTACGACAGCCACACTTTATCCTTGTAAATCATGGCTACTTCCTTAACAAAAACAATTAAAAAAAGAATTTAACAAAAAAAAAATTTCCTCGACTGGGATTCGAACTCGAGACCTCTCACTCACTAAGCGAGCGCGTTACCACTGTACCACGGAGAAGTTATACACAGAATGTCTGAATAATATCAAGTCATTCTAAATTTATAACTTCCATTGCATTCAGGTTTGTAATCCTAGGTACGTTAATATACGTACCTGGTAATACTTATTAATTTCGAGGTATTTGTTCAGGGTAAACCTGTTGTTTAAAATTGAATTAAATATTTTAGCGAAAATCCTCTCGCCCAAACAGTCCGACATGTAGAATCTATATATTCCACTACTCGGTTTGTGTAGTATTCGGTAATCTACATGGCTAAAAATAGTATTTTCATTGATAAAATCATATTCATCCGCGTAATTTGTGATTGTGCATTTATTGACAATTCTATAAGCCAACGCTATTGTTTGACTTTAAATGCGTTGTAATTTGTTGGATACTTGTAACAAGATAAAATATTTCTTTCTTTTAAATCGCTAGTTTTAAGCTGTTTTGAGAACTACTTGTTGTTAGGTTTGTCATAAACTTCTGTGTCAGAGATTGAATGTCCGCTTTGTATTTAGTTATTTTCGATCAGAAAATACCAGAAAACAATATTAGAAATCTTCGACCATTCGGGAATTACTTTGCTTGAAAATTGATGCGCCTGTCTTTGACCATCTTTACGCAGTGATCTCCCCTGAATTTTTCGGCTTTAGTGTACATACAAAAGGGAAGTAACCGCTTCAAAAAAGTGGACTACTTTCGGCATTTGCAATTAAGAACATTAGACTCTGAAATTTCGCTACCATTATTTGTTTGGTCTGACGACCCAAACAAATAAAAACTATGGTCGCAAAAAGTATCGACTGTTAAACATACATCATTATATTTAAAGCGTAGATTGTTTACAAGTAGAATTAATTATCAATTGTATGAGTGGAATAGATTCGCAAATTTTACAACTGTTATGGAACTCCTTTATATCTTAAAATGCTCGATATTTTTCAAGGTAACATGTCAATATAATGGTCATTTAAATAACTCCAATCCCCGCTGTTTTCCGTCGTTAATCACATATATTTGTGTTGAGAGCTTACTTTATACGACATATTGTTACATGGAAATAACATTTTTCAGCCGCTTTTCTTTAAATCATAATGAAAATTATTTTCTAAAAATGTTCTTAAGTATCAATATACTATCATGACTCATAAATTATATTTAATGATAAGTGATTTCAATGTTGCAATTTTGCAGGCACCGTTGAATCCTTTAGTGGAATCATGTATAGAAATTTATCACTGATAATACCATCATCAAGTAACAACACTAACAGCTCTATGTAAGTGTAAATTTCTTTAGATGTCTTATCCTAGTAGATTGAAACTTTAACGTCATAATATTCTCTTTTTGTCAATGTGATAAAAGCGCACTGGATTATTTAATGTTGGATTAAACCAATCACAGGACTTATTCATATCACGTAACCGTAAGACTATATTTCTGTACTTGTAGCATGTAGTACTACGTAAAGATCAATTTTATTAATTTGTATTGTTCAATAGACCATCGTTAACCTTACCAAAATACATGAAAAAGGTTGCGACTGGTCAAATTATTCAGTATTTGTTAGAAGCTCTAAAATGTACATGTTTTGTCCAATGAAATGTCCTGACTGATCATGATTATCAAAAAGGAAACTACAAATGTGTACAAAAATATAAAAAGCAACAAAAAAGCTACACAAAATTACCATGTCTAAATGTAGAAATTTGTCTTGCTCTATACTGGTGACAATGGCCACTCATTGTCGGTTTGAGCAGAAAAGTAGCACAGAAAAGATGAAATAAAGTTTTTTAAATGCTTACTTTTGTAGTTTAACGATATTTTATTGTTATTGCCTAATATAGTATATACATGCAACTATACACATAAAACACAGAACAATTAACAAAAAACAAATGAGTTTGGCAAAGTTCTAGCAAAATTACATTTAATCTTTCAATGGATCTTTGTATCATTGTGCTGAATTCATTTTATAAACATATCTTTCTAACATATTAAGTATCTTAAAGAAATTCAAATGATATTTTTTTCGTTTCTCATCAGGTCCGAAGGTCTTCAGCTAAATGCCCCAGTCATATCATTTACATTTTACCCCAACATTAAGCGACAACTTATAAGCCCAGTGGAAATTCAATTTCAGTTGTATAACGTAAGTATCTTTTATCACATCAAATATACCAAATTGTTCAATACCATGCAATCTTATATAAATGCAAGGGCATTCATTCAATACATTTTAACTAATATTTCTGAAACATAATTTACTCGGGCCGATTCTTCATAAAAAGACTGGTATACCGTAACGTAATAAGGCTATCATAATGGGATCAATATTTGTTTTTATTATATATCTTTAAATGATTGTAAGCTTTTCGTTTTGGTACCGAAAGCTTTAAATAAATCACCAAAATGTTATATTTTTGTAATATTTTCTTAATATATGTATTTTTAAAAGTTTTTCATAGGGTTTAAATGGAGATAAAAGAATACTAGATAACTTTTCTTAAAACATAATTGTTTCTTAAATTCAGAATTTGTTGGATAATGCGAGGTGTTCTTTTTGGAAGGAGTCAAAAAGGTAAAGTATTATATAAATGTCTTCCGACAATTAACATTTATCTTTGTTGCTGTACTTTGGATGATGGCATCTGCCAAGTAAACACTTTATTGTTTTAGTACTAGTTAGTTTTCTTGTTTATAATCAAAAATATACAACAGATAAATTCAGACTAATGAGTAATATTTTCCCTTAAAAGTAAAATGACAAATAATAACCTAACTTTCAATAAACTGATTAATCAAATAAGTACCTGCTATTAATCTATTATAAGTCTTTCGAAGAAAATACCCTGATTTAACTTATAAACAAGAAAACTAAAAAGGTTACATGTAGTATGATAATTCATGTGATAATTTAGTGTTTAATTGTTAGCATAAATATACCACAATATTTGTGTAACATATTTAGTACTTTTTGTTTCGTACTTTCGGAAAGCACACTGTTTAAATCATTTGAGACAATTGAAGGGCTGAATTATAGGCATGTTATGATTCTTACACATATATGTATATAAAAATGAAACACTCATTGTTTTTGTTATAAGGAAAATGGGAAATGTCAGGTTAAGTTTTGAAAAGCGTTAAGCCGGTTTCCATGGTTTAACTTTATCAAATATATTTTAGAATCTTCCTTGTGGCCTTATCTAACATACACAATGAAAAATGTAAAATCTTTGTGATACATTTCATCATTGACAAAATTTATTTATTCAGATACATGAACCTATCAAGTGTGTAAAACAAAACATGCTGTTATATGATCCCGTATATTAAACAGTTGAAGCTTGTTTTGTCCAACAACATTGACCTGTCCCTTCATGAACTTAAAAGTCAGTTGATAAAGAATACATCAATATATTTGTTTACTTCACACGTCAGTAAGGTGTGTTGAACTGATACAGACTAGTTGCCGGACTACTGATCTGAAGGTCTTTGGTTCGATACCTAACCAACACAACGTCATGAAGATATCCATTTTTTATTTTGGAATTTACTTGCAAGAATTTATCTGAAAGTGTTTTACAACATCTGGTTTCAGGATACCTTTTATGTAATGCTTTCTATACAGTTGATTTTTATTTTATTTTATTACATTATCTTTAATGAAAAGTACTGGGCTTTTATGATATAAATCAAAAATTCTACACAGATAGAATACCAATACACAAATATAAAACATTTTCACAGGTGTTCAGAAAAAAGGCAATTTTAAAATTAAAGTAAGAAACCAAATAAAATGTCTAAACCTGGACTCAAACTTCAAATTAACGGCTATATTCTTGAAGTTAAAGACGTTTACAGGCAACGCTAGAGGGGATTCTTACTTAAGACCATTTAACAACTGGTTATATATATATGCATGGTTTTTCAAGTAGATCATAACGTTTACGAAATTCACCGACTATAGGGTCTAATGCAATATTGCCAGGTCAATATTGTTGGACGATATAGCCACAAAGAGAGGGTTTTATAGCAAATATCTGTTACACAGTCAGATTACCTGTCAAATTTATTCATCATAGTGTACGTTTGTACGGCATATAGGAGACATTTATGACGTGCGCATGAGTAAGCTATTGTGTCATGCATTGGCTATTACATACGCACGCGAAACAATTACATGGTCACGCGGTTTGCTTAACGTGCGCATGCGTACGTTATACCTATTGCATGGCTTCGTAAGAGTAACAATTCAATTGTTTTTTTCGTGGGGGGATAATCCATCAATTTGCAACGTAACAGCACTATGATGAAATTTGACGTAACAAACATAATATAATAACTGTTTCTTGTTTGTGAAGCGAAACATCACAAGGCTACTGGTCAGATGAGGGATGTCGACTGAAAAAATATGACAAAGACGAAGGAGTTGTTATGTGCATTTGCGACCATCTAACTAATTTTGCTGTGCTTATGAGTCCATCCCTGAAACCGGTATGTATGTATTATATATTGTTATCATAATATCGTCACTAAGATAAATTCCAATTAATCAATTTTATCTACAACTTTATATATGATTAAGTGACTTGAAATATGATAAAGAATCTGACAAGATTAGTTTTTAATAGAAAGGTTTTACTGTTTCGATTTATCAAGAATGTCACCAGAATACAATAAAAATGTTGCTGTGGCTAAAAGTTCCACAAAAAGATACACAATTTACGTGTCAAGCATTTATACTTAAAGTCTTATGATGAAAATTTAGTACTTGACAATTACATGTATATCATAGCTCTGCTTAAACTTATGGTCTCGAGTATTGTAGATATTACAGCAAAATGTTTTTGTTACACATATTGCATTTTCTACAAATAATCTGGTCTTTCGATTTCATATTGACAAAAATATATACCCCTTTCACTGCCATAAGGACGGCTTATGCCGTCCCTGTTATTTTCGGCGTATTTGCCATATGGACGGCTTTAGCCGTTTCTATAAGAATAATAGTAATAATAATAAATTAATAATAATAATAATAAAAAATAATAATAAATATAAAGAAAATCATACCATTGACAATAATTATTATTATACTAACAGATTTGGAAACATATATAATTATTATAATACTAATAACAAATCATAATAATTATATTAATTAATAATATAGTAATTACTTTGAAAACCCTCTGGCAAATAGGTGATCAATAAAACAATGACCCTCTGGCAGCGAAAGGGTTAAGCAAATCTATAGTATGGATATATACATTGTATAGGCACACTCTTAACAATTCCATATCAATTTTACAAAACACTTTTAATAATAACATAAGTGTTCTATACTTTCAGATTGAGGACGGACATAAGGAGGCACTGTCAATCATTTCCATGATAGGTTGCATAGTTTCAATGTTCTGTCTAGTACTGAATGTAGCTATTCACGCATTCTTCTGGAGGTTAGAAATTATTTGTTATTAGAAAAAAAGATAATACAAAAATACTCAAACACAAACGCATAAACGAATAAAAAACAAATACAAACTAACAAACAAACTGGCAAAAAGTGTTTAAAAATGAAACAAACAAATAAGTAAACAAACAAACAAACAAAAACAGCAGATTTTTATGAAACGCCTCGCACAAAATAACACCACCACCAACACGGCATTTGCAGCCGCAGGAGCAATAACAGCAACAACAAACCACAAACACAAACAAACAATAACAAAATATGTACAAATCTATGAAACAAAATCAAAACCTTAAGAACAATATAACAACAACAACACGAACATAACAAAGAAACACAAAACATATTCACAGTCTTAATACATATGAAATAAAGCAACGGAAGTCAGATTTTTTACTACATTCGTGTATTGAACTTGTCCTGTTTTTAATTTTAAACTATTTGTTTACAGAGAGATTCCATTATATGGAACTTTGCATTTTCAGTTATTCTTATATTAAGATTGTGATATTTGAAGAAAGTGATTCCAATAGAATAGAGCCTGTGAAGACTGCACGTATGTGCATACTAAAGTGGGAACATTTTAATTAATTTCGGTTCGTACAGTCTTTAAAAAGTGCTTTAATTTTAGCCACTTTCTCAAAAAAGTGCTTGTATTTTGGCATAAGATAATGCTTAAATAGAAACAAATTATCTAGATGAATCATCTCATAACTGGTATATTCAAACATCTAGACCTGAATTGATCTTAAATAAATATTTGAAATATGTTTTCAGGTTTATTAAATCGGTGCGGTACATCATCCATATGAACTTATCCTGTTGGTTAATTATTGCTTATATCCTGTTTCTTGTTGGGATAAACAGAACAGAAAACAAGGTAATGCCATACACATATTTATGAGTAAACGATTGTGAAGTGAGATGAGGAAGTAATTTACACATTGCAAACAACACTCAAAATCCAATATATTACAAAAATAAGCAAAAATAGCCACAGTGACTACTGAATCAGTCACGCAGTTAAAATATGGTGAAATTCAGAAAAATCAGTCATTAATCGCACATTATATCTAATTTATAATTGAATTTGGAATCTATTACTTTTCTTAAACTCTTTCTATCAGATTTGATCTCTTGAAATGTTTTTCTTTCACTTTATTCTTAAACAGTTTCACTGCAATAATTTAATAAAACTGTGCAGCCATCTGAATAGCGCCTGACAAGTTGATAATTATGCTTTTCTACTTGTGCTTTTGTATTTGTAGAGAAAGGTATCATATTCTAGTATGAAAACGCCATTTTTGTAAGTTGGTCTTCGCTTTGGATAAAGGCATCAATTGTATTTTAACTAAACTACCTTATAGAATATTGCCGATTTTTTTTCTGTTAGAGAAATGTCTTCCTTGACACTTAATTTGAATTAAATATGCTTTTCATCAATGTGTAGGCCGTTTGCACAGCAATTGCGGTACTTCTCCACCTGGTGTTTTTGATAGTTTTCTTCGGAATGCTAGCGGAGGGATGTAATCTTTCATATACGGTTCTCGAACCACTAAGTACTATAAAACCTGGGATGCCACTAATGATATGGTCTTATGGTACATATGTTTAGTTAATCTGTTGTTTTTTTACATTATAAAATATATGTTAAACTCTAGTTAAACATTATCTGTAAATATCAATAGAATGTAAATATTTATGAATATAATAGATAATAGAATCAGTAATATATTTTTGTTATAAGTGTTTGATTTTTTATTGACATGACATGGCGGTTGGCCTCAGTGGTAGGGCTTGTACCCACTTCGATAATATGTTGGGGTAATGTGATAAACATGTTTATGCATGTTGTAATGACATAATATTTCAATGTCTTTATTTATTTCCAGTCCTCGCAGTAATAATTGTTGTGATATCTATGGGGTGTATCACAGGCTACAGGGATATGGAAACGAACAGGCGTAAGTTTTCATCGTTTTATGTAACACTTTTTAAATGGTGAATTGCGTTTTGCATTTTCTTTTCGGACGGATTTGTGACTACTTAATATCATATATGTGCTGAACATACTTTAATATATATGTGTGATATTGTTATGAAACTTAATATCATTTTATTTTTGGCATTAAGTAACTGTTTTGAACATTGCATTAGAAGTATTATTGCTCTCAAAATTATACAATCGTCATGCAAAAATGAAGTTTTAGGACGAGTCCACACCATTTCTAAAAAGATGCATTATTTACAAGAGTATTTTCGAAAAGGACATAAATCGTGAAAACATGAAAAAAAAAAATAGATAAAAAGGCTACATCTACATTGATTACAACTAGCACAAATTCCAACAAAAGCAACCTATTGTGTGATTCATGTTTTTGTTTGTAATTTAATTTTATGATATTTATGTTTATTTTTACTTACTTTTTGTATCTGATCGACCATACAAAATGTACTTATATACGATCTATGTATCACCAGAGTATCAATCAGAGTGTTTTGATGTTCTTTCTCTTTTGTATTATGAAAAGAAAAATAAGTGCGTAGCAATATGAACCCCCCCCCCCCCAAAAAAAAATCAATGTCGTCACAATATTTACCCATTACGCGATATACACGCATTTTAACGCTTTTTGCACCCCCACACTTTCTTGTTGTCTCAAACGGTAAAAAATGCCTAATTTAGGCCCCCAACACTTTTTTGTTTGAGAAATGTTGTTAAAAACGTGACGACTTTTTCGGCGCGGTCCCCCATCCAAAAGATATATCAGGGGGTTGCCAGAAGGGGGGTATGCCCCCTTCTGTTTGGGGGGATTTGAAGGGGGCGGCAGTCCCCTAATCGCCAACAAAATTTTGGACTTGTGAGAGGCTAAGAATGAACCCAGATCGATCAAAAGGTAACGTGTTACCAACGCTGAAAAGCATTTGACTCTATCTCAATCCATTGAAGTTGTAGCACTTTGAAATCAAATTTGATGGAAAAAATCAACGCAAAATAGTAATTTTTGGCAATTTGAGATGTCCCCTCGTTGTCATGGTAACAGAAGATTTAAGCCTGAGCATGTTGTTGCAAAGGCAATGGTCCAGTCAACATTTGTGCCAAGTTTGATTAGTATTGGAGCAGTTTTTTATAGTTTTTATATCAATTTGAACTTGTATCGGGAGACTTTTCAATGAAAACAGCCATTTTACACAAAATGCTCAGAAAAAAACCCAGAAAAATGCAACCAGTGTAGGAGCATCTGAATATGATAATTATATCACTATATTTTTCATTGCTGATACGTAAACCCTAGAGAAAATGAGCCAATCAATGGGCATGCTCTAGACAGACAGTGAGTGCAGGTAACTTATACCTGCACTCCAATTAACAAATTGTGATTTTATATGTATACAATTTAACTCTGACACATTAACAACTGAAAGGTCCCCCAACACTGATACAATTTATTGTATATTGTTTTACGTTTCCATGTTAATGATATTCATGTATTATCCTGATTTGTTTCAGATGCTGGGTTATCGATGATACGGGATTATGATATGGGGCCTTTCTTTAGCTCCGGGTTCTTTGTTTTGTAATAGTGGTATGTACATTCAATGGGTTTAAATTTTATAATTTTAAAACTATGTTTGTTAAAACCATTTTTTAACCATAATAACACCAATTATCTGCCGGGTGCTTTATTGCTGCAGCTTAAATTTTTGTTACGTTTGAAGTCATTTTTATTGGACCATTGGTTCATTACCTAAATAACTACGTTTTAAAAGGGGTGGTTATATCAACGTGGTATTTCTGTTTATAGTAAATTGTGGTAACCAAAAAAGAACGGTATTTGCTACGTTTTTTGGCTAATAATTAATAACCCTAGTTCCCATGTAAATTTTGCCGAAATCCAAATTGGCATAATAATTATCATAATAATAGGCTTTTTTTAAACCTTAATTTTCCCTTGCAAGGGAAATTTTCATCCGGGGCACATTTTGATGGCAATATGTGTCACAAATTCTGCAAGCACATCGGGAAAGTACAAGAGCTACATTTTAAAAATATGTACCATTTGAATCGGAGAATAATTGCCTTGAATATGATGTTTGTATTGTTCAAATATTGAAAACTAAAGCTAGATTTCAGATAGATAAATTAATTTACGTGGTGATGTTTTAAACAATTTATTTCAGGTAAATTGTATAATTGTTGTCTTAGTTGATTCGGACAATGTGCGGCACTAAATCAATGTCAAGGAAATCACACAAAGGACGGGCAAAGTATGACAATAGCTTATTTGTATGTTTCTGTGATTTAAATGTCTTTTTGTAACTTAAAATTCAATTTGCTCACTTAAAATGCCATATTATATTTAGCTGTGTTACCTTCTCTGTTCGTGAAATATATATTTTTCTATAAATGTTTGCTTTGTGAAGACCATACCAAATACCTTTTGCCAATAGTAAGTCTCTTTTGACTGTGACTATATTCTGTCAATTGTACTGAATTAAAAGCCAGCCATACATTATGAGCAATAAATAAATTTAAATTCAAAAGTCAAATTCTCGACACGCTCAATTTTTAATAGTCTAAAATATCTGAGATACTGATAACTGTTGATGTCTGCCCCTGTTCATGATCACTTGACTACATGCATCCCATACTTGCACCTTTTTTTGTCATCTGTTACATATTTCTCATGACACTTGTATTACAACAATCGTAAATAAATGAATATTTATATTGACGAACACTGACTTATAAAAATACGGGTTTTTATTTTCAAGCAAATATTCAGATGATAAAACGGGTTTTTATTTGGAAAGCAAAGTTTTTTTGAAAGGGTTTTGGGGAGAAAAACAAAAGGGGCCGGGTTCCCCAAATGTTTGGGGTTAAAGAAAAAAAATATTAAAATGGGTTTTAAAAAAATTATTTTAATTTTCTTTTTGTATAAACTCTAAAATTAATTTTTTTTAAAATTGCCTTTAAACATACATTTTAAATATCTTTTCAGAGCGGGCATTACTTTGCATATTGGTGCTATGCCGGGAGGGTCTGACTTGGGGTTTGGGTACTATTTTTTTAAATGGCCCAAAATTTTGTTTTCCAGTACATTTTTCGCTCTTTTTTAACCCAGTTTTCGGGAAAAACCAAAAAATTTTTTAGCCCAATTGATAATCAAAAAAAATTTGCAAAATTTCAAATGTAAATAAGGAACAAGTGTGTTCATTGGCTTTACTTTTGTGCAATGGGATACCTAAAATATAATTTGGAATAACTGGTCAAAGGTTCAAAAACTATGTCAAATTGTAGTTTCTGAATATGTAGCCTGTCCAGTCTTCGACTGGTCGCAACACTTTTGATCATAGACTACAACTTAATAGAATAATTACCCTTGACAATTTGGCATTAGCAGAATTCTTTCAACAATTACTAACCGAGACAATTAATGGGTCTGAAATAAGGGACATGCTTTAACAAAGGTTTTGGAATAGCTATATATATATATATATATATGCTCACAGTTAAAAGTACAAATATATTGACCTGTCTTATTCAATTTTTATCATACAAGTAGTATTCTTATTATTTGAATGTGTTTGCTATATTTATTTCATGTATTTAAAGCACAAATACAACCTGACAATAAGACGATTCGATTACTATGAACGAATTTGATCATTAAATGGCATGTCATTTAAGTCATACATGCATATACATTTTAAACGAGATATTCAATGGACTGAAGTATACTTTGTGTTTGCTTTTATTCATTTTAATTACGCGGATCAGACACGGCGAAGCGCACCTTTAGGGATCTAAGCCTAACTAAATCCAAGAAAGAGTACAACGCTCTTGTTGAGCATACATTTTCATACTTTTATTAAATTTTCCTGGGCGTCATATTTTTTTAGGAATGTGTTAGCAGATATACATGTGTTTTTGCTAAATATGTACTTTCTTATTTATATTTGTGCTACTTTCGGACACTGTACAAAAGACACTTGTTTTTCGAAAAGTCTGTGTTTAATAGTATGACAATGCCAGAATAACCAAACGTATGGAGGTTTTAGATTATTTATTTCAATTATGTATTTATGAAAAACATAAAATAATTTAATTTTCAGGGACTGCTGATCTTCATATTTCACTGCGTGATGGACAAAAAGGTAACCGTTTCTAATTATTTTCGAAAATTGGTACATTGTATCATGACTGGGTTTAGCAATCTTAAAGATATCATTTTGGTTACTTTTAAGTTTCAAACCATAAGACACAGTGACAACTTAAAATTTCTAAAACATCATTTTAACTGGTATAACTGGTATACTGCATCATACGCGATAGCAAATTGACTTGGCGCGCTAACAAGTAATGAAACAAAACGATTCTTACGTGTTTAACGATCTTTTATTCCTTTCATTATAGCTATGCTGTCACCATCTTCGTTTATAATGTTAATGCTCTCGGTGGATTATAAAATGTTCATATGGCAACCTGACCGCATTAACCATCCCACTGCCGCGAAACATTTAAAATGTCAGTCAAATAAATTGTATTTTCTTGCAATATGACTTGAAGTGAGTTCAAAACATTAGTTCAATATAAAATAATGATTAACTTTAAAAATTCCTTACATTATGAGTCCTAAATTGAAATGTGGATATTTATTTTAGCGGTCCAAAAACCAAACTACGTAACATGGTTGATAAAAAATAAACATTAATATAACACGACTTTAATTGCAGATAAAAGATGCGTTTTCAAAACAGAGACACAAGTGGCTTCAATCGACGCAGAGTTTCGGACTTTCTGAAGGAAAGAAAAGCGTAATTATCATACTATCCATATTCTAAAGAACATTTAGATTTTTTCTGTTTCTTTTATAATATAACAAATTGTGCCTTAAAGTCTATTCAAGAAGTAGATTTAGTTGAATATTTTTTTCTATTAAATTGTTTGTTTATTAAAGTTCTTTATCAATGTTTTAACTGTTAGCCTACTAGAACCGAAAATACTTAAACTTTGTCACCAGTATAGAGCCAGGCCTGCCTGTACTTCCGGGCAGTCTGACCAGTATCTGTACTAATGTAAGCTCTATTTTTATCATTTGATACTGAAAACTCTAAACATTAAATCTCTTTTTAAACAATTGTATTTGGATTTTAATTTGCCCTGTGTCAAAATCAATTTATTCTCTTTTTTTTTATTTTAAGAAAACATAAGACTCTTCCGTTTTGTGAAAGCCAAGAAGAATCAGTTCATCGATGGAGTATTTCAAAATGTGATTTGTCGGACAGTTTTATATCTAAAACAGCACTTTGTCATTTAAAGCTTCCTGTACATCGTGATCAACCGATAACGTACTTCAATATTTGTACTTAGCTAACCACGGTTATATCACCCGTATTTTAGATTTTTGAAATTTTCAAAAATTTTCAATCCCCCCTAAAAGGGTTTAAAATTTTTTATTTTTTGGTGGCATCTCCAAAACCCCTTATCCGGGGATCCACCCTTTTGAGAATTTAAAAAATGGGAGTTTGCAAGGGAAAATAGTTTTAAAATGGACCCAAATCGATGTATTTTTTGTTTTTTAAAAAAAATCCCAAATGTCGACTCTTGACTTTTCTAAAAACCAAAACTTTTCATTGAGTTTTTAAAAACATTGACTTTCGAAATCCATTATTCAGGTTTTTAAAAAGGAGTTTTTTTCAAACATAAATTCAGCCTAAACATCTACTTTTTACAACTTTTAAAGGGATTTTAATTCCCAAACATTTTTTCTTTGGACATCTCCTTTTTCAAAAATTTTTTAAAGGTATTAAACTTTAATCTGGGGACACCCACAAATTACAACTTGCATTGAGTATTCTAAATATGATATGTCGGAATCTACTTATTCACAACTTTCATTGAGTATTCCAAGCATTTATATGTCGGACATCCACTTTTTCACAACTTTAAATGAGTATTCCAAACATTGATATGTCGGACATCCACTTATTCACAACTTTAAATGAGTATTCCAAACATTAATCTGTCGGACATCTACTTATTCACAACTTGCATTGAGTATTCTAAATATTGATATGTCGGACAACTACTTTTTCACAACTTTTAATGAGTATTCCAAACATTTATTTGTCGGACATCCACTTATTCACAACTTTAAAAGAGTATTTCAAACATTAATCTGTCGGACATCCACTTATTCACAACTTGCATTGAGTATTCTAAATATTGTTCTGTCGGACATCTACTTATTCACAACTTTTAATGAGTATTCCAAACATTAATATGTCGGACATCTACTTATTCACAACTTTAAATGAGTATTCCAAACATTAATCTGTCGGACATCCACTTATTCATAACTTGCATTGAGTATTCTAAATATTGTTGTGTCGGACATCTACTTATTCACAACTTTAAATGAGTATTCTAAACATTAATATGTCGGACATCTACTTATTCACAACTTAAAATGAGTATTCCAAACATTAATCTGTCGGACATCCACTTATTCACAACTTGCATTGAGTATTCTAAATATTGTTCTGTCGGACATCTACTTATTCACAACTTGCATTGAGCATTTTAAAAATTGATCTGTAGAACAACTACTTATTCACAACTTTAAATTAGTATTCTAAACATTAATCTGTCGGACATATACTTATTAACAATTTTAAATGAGTATTCCAAACATTTATCTGTCGGACATCTTCTTATTCAAATTTTCATTGAGTATTCGAAATATTGATATTTCAGACATCTACCTATTCACAACTTTTAAATGAGTATTCTAAACATTGATATGTTGGACCCCTACTTATTCACAACTTGCATTGAGTATTTCAAACATTAATCTGTCGGACATCTACTTATTCACAACTTTAAATGAGTATTCCAAACATTGATATGTCGGACATCTACTTATTCAAAACTTTCATTGAGTATTCTAAACATTGATCTGTAGAACAACTACTTATTCACAACTTTCATTGAGTATTCCAAACATTTATCTGTCGGACATCTACTTATTCAAAACTTTCATTGAGTATTCTAAATATTAATATGTCGGACATCTACTAATTCACAAATTTAAATGAGTATTCAAAACATTGATCTGTCGGACATCCACTTATTCACACATTTCATTGAGTATTCTAAATATTGATATGTCGGACATCTACTTATTCACAACTTTCATTGAGTATTCCAAACATTAATCTGTCGGACATCTTCTTATTCACTACTTGCATTGAGTATTCTGAACATTGATCTGTCGAACATCAACTAATTCATTAATTTCAATGACTATTCCAAACATTTATCTGTCGGACATTCACTTATTCACAAATTTAAATGACTATTCCAAACATTGATCTGTAGAACAACTACTTATTCACAACTTTAAATGAGTAGACCAAACATTAAACTGTCGAACATCCACTTATTCACAACTTACATTGAGTATTCTAAACATTGATCTGTAGAACAACTATTTATTCACGACCGCCTATTCTCAGCTTTTCACAAATCATGTGCATGTATATGATATCGCAATTATGCTTGTTTTTGTATTCATTGATATGTAACGGTTAATGTTTCTTTTTTTAATATGTGGAGTAAATGTAACTGTGTTCTTGCAAAGCTATATACCCAACGCCGCTGTTATACATTTTGGATTTTAATTCGATAGGAGAAATTTGTCATGGTATTTTGATGGATATTGCTTGTCACTTACAGTTTTTTATGCTACATTTGTTTAAGTATTTAATATTGTCTATTACATTTACATGCTTGCTTTTTTAAAGCTGTCAAAAACTATATATGTATCACCATATTTGTAAATAATATTTTGTTCTGTTCTGAAAAAGGTGAACAGTATTTATATAACAAAGTTGTGGCAGTTTTTACTGCAACATGATTTGATATTCACGGACATTTTGCATCATTTGAGAATTCCCCCCCCCCCCCATACAACAACAGAATTTGACAAAAACTAACAATGGTCATTTGGATTACAGATATAAATAAATTTGATAGATTGATGAAAGCTGGTGCTATAGGAGCCACTGCTATAAGTCTTCCAGTATACAATATATGTCTTTGAAACTTCAAGAAGTGATTGATATAATGTTAACTTTTTGTTGAAATATGACAAACAAGATTAACAAGAAGGGGTGGCGTTCAATAAAGTTTGTTTGACACTTACAATGCATTAATCTTATGAGACTTTAGTTACATTGCATTAATTCTTATTCATCCCTCATTTAATGATTATGTTAATAGAAAACGCTAATCATTTATGGTTTTTTTTTTTTATTTAAATCACAGTTCACCATTGTTAAAACCAAATATGACATGGACCGAGTGAAAAAAAAAAAATTTTTTACATTTTTCTAAAATATAAATGTCAACTACATTGTATGTCAAAAATATTTAATTCTATGCAGATATCATTGAATGAACGTACGTACTATCGTAGAAAAGTGTATTAGTTATTATAAAAAAATTGATATAATAATTATTAATTAAAATATTTTTGGACAATTAGACCAACCAAGGAATAAGGAAATATTTTAACAATCAATTTGTTTGGACACATCATACTAATAATATTGTAGAGAAAGCCTCTGAAAGAACGTCCTCGTGATGTTGATATGAATTTGAGTATGAACAAAAAAGTATAGAAAGAGTACAACATATATTTGAAATACGCACACGTAAAAACCCTGGATATGCATCTGAATATTTTTCTATTGAAAACTGTCAGTGAGATTTTGATAACACTTATGATTATCACTGGCATGAGCCATCAAACATAAGCATCACCGGAACCTATGTAAAATTGCACGAACTTACCGAAATCATGTTAAAAACGGATTTATAGTAATTTAAGGATCATAACAAGTTTATTGTATATTGTTTAGATGATGGTTTCAGTGTCATGCATGTGTTAGATCGATACCGTATAATTCTGTTTTAAATGGATTACTTAATTTCTTTGCTTATCATCTAGATTAATATTATCCATTATATTTAACAATTTCGGAAATATTTTAGCGCACAATTCATTATCAACAGTCATGCATCTTTTTTGAAGGGTCTGTATAATAAACTTAAGCCTATTTGTAATTTTAGAAGTATTCAAGATATTGCTAGACAACTTTGATATCTTTGTTAATTGTGAAGCTTATTTTTTAGAAATTGTAATCGAAGCATGGTATGACATTTAAATGTTTATAGACGAAACAAAATATCCAACCACAAAAATTTATTTTACATTTAAGCTGAGATATATTACATGATGCTTCTTTGTAAAAGGCAAAAAAACATTGTGATTTGATATTGAAATTGAGGCAAACTGGAGAAAGTAAATGTATATTTACACTTACAAAGACGTGCATATATGAACATAAAGAAAGATCAAGAACATACATGTCCAGCAGACTTCAACATTTGTACACAAAAGTGTGTTATAATTTTTATGAAGTCTTTAAAACTCAATATCATTTCCAAAAAGGTCTCAATACTAAAGCGTTGCTAACAGCTTTAAACGATTACTATATTATAAAAGTCAAATGCTTAAAGGTATGCTTAAGAATATAATACTAATTTCATTTTTGTAACGACATATTTGAAATCATTGTTTTTTGTCATTATTGGAATAAAAGACCCATTAGTCTAAAACGATATTGTTTTTATTTCTGAGCAACATTTTATGGTGTCCTCCCACACAAGAAACACGTACACACACAAACGCACGCGCACACGCACGCACACACACAAATTTTGGCCATACATTTGTAGCTGAACCTTCTTTTTCTCCTGGCAATTAGTACATTTTAAGTGTTTAGTATGAAAGTCATCATCTAATTAACATTTGATACTTTTATGACAAATAATGTTACCTTTGTGACACTAACTTCCATTGTTAAGCATCTAATATGCTTTAAAATCATCGTTAAAATGTCATTTAACAAACTTTGCCTTTTTAAAAAAAAGAAAGAAATATGATTAATTTCTTAGGCATAGATATAATGTGCCTGTAATAAACCCTCAACACGGCCTAACATGTCGGTGTTATCAGGTGAGTTCAATGACTACAATATCAGAGTTATCAAAAATAACTTGCAGTACAAATGAAATAATAACCAACGACATTTTCAATTGTGCCGTTTAAAACATTCATTAGAGATACTTTTGTTCTTTTCCATACTCATTTTATCGAAGAATTTGTCGAACCTTTCGTTTGTTTTAACCAAAAAAAGCTGAAGTGTAATGACTTCAATGTTATTTTTTCAAAATTCCATGTGTTAAATTAGATGCCGCCACATGTAACATCTTAGATCAGTAGCCAGTCAAAATGATAAACTTAAAAAATCATTTGAAGCAACAGCGCAGGACAACAGGATTTTAAAT